GCTTGTGTTACTAATGTCCGGAGAACGCAAAGAAAAATGTGCCTCTACATTTTACTGCTCACAGTTTGCTGAAATATCGTGTTCACTATTTTTATCGAACAAAATGACGTCCACACAGATAAAGGATAACATAATATTGCGATAATATCGAAAATATATATTTCATCAAAAATATCCGTTAATGATAAAGATTCAGGATTCTAGGAAGATTAATTATAAACGAAAGAGAAATAATAAAACAAAAAATAATAAAACAAGAAAAACGCACGGGAATTTTATAATAAATTGCTTAATAATGTCATTAAACGAAGGAACAGAATAGTGTCGTTAAACGAAGAAAATTTATTTGGAATTACATATTCTCTTTCGAAAATAAGCATATATTTTGTAATATGTTATTTGAAAATCGATTCGTAAGGAAAATGAGATATGCGACACACACACATGCGCGCGTGCGCGCGTTCTGATGAAATAACTGAAGCCATAGATTATTAAAACCTGGATAAGATTTCTAAACGCTAAAATCGGATATTTCTCAGATATCTTTCTCTTCTTACAGTTTAACAAGAACTTTGCCAAATCTTATAATGAATATGCAATTTATTATGAAAACAAATACATATGTATTAATAAAAAAATTATTTTCAATTAGATATATGAATAGCATTTAATATTTAATAAAAAATACATTACACATTCGGGCAAAATTTGACATGTATTTTTCACTACGCATAGCGCAACTTTAATACAAGTGATAAGATTACTCTTACAATATTACATCAGAAGAAACAACTGCACCAGATTACTTTTGATGATGAAAATCACAGTAACTACTCGATCTATACCAATTGCTGAATAGAGAATAGTTCGCTCAAGAACTGCATACTGTAGTAGTGAACTGTGTGTACCAATCCTGAACAGAGAATAGTTTATCCGGATTGCACACCGTGGAAGCGCACTATGAAGTGAGACCCATCAAAAGGTTGTCGAGCACCGACAACCAAACTTGCGGCGTACCAAATTACACGGGCACATGCATCCTAGCGGAGGTGCACCGGACATCCGCATTGCCATGTACAACCGCAATGTGGGCATCGCCATGACAAAAGCGTGAAAATATTGACACACTCGGCCTAAATTGCGGAAAGAAAACGTAAGCTTCTCGCTTACGTCGAGACGTAAGAGAAAAGAATCGCGACGTAAAATTAAGTCTCAATATAATTGAAATTCAGAATTATTTGTGAAATGAGTGTAATGTGTCTCGCAAAGACACTAGGAAATTTTTCAATTAATGATTCAAGAAAGTGGATTAGCAACAAGTGTGCGAGGGATACAATGGAGAATTCACAATGCTACGTCTAAAGAAATTTGTCATCCCATTAGACATTTCTTCGAACACTTTTTCGAGAACTGAATCGTGAGAGTGATATCCTTTCATTCGTCACGAATGAAGCAAGCTCGTTTGCTGGCACGATAAACACGAGCTACGAACAAATTACTGCACTTATAAAGAAAGTGTATCACCTGTTATAGAATTGGATTACAGATCGAACGCTTGTATAATCAGCATACTGTCGTTTGTCTGACAAATCGTTCGTTGGAATGAATTTGCGTTCAACAAGACAGGCGCTAAACGTGATTAAAGATAGCACACGATCGGGACAATCGGGACGCGTCGATGTGAGCGATGTCAAGGGAAGGGAAAAAGGATAAAAATTATCGCCGGCATCGAGGAGCAAAAGGGTTAGTCGATCGATCTGCGAAAACTTTTGCTTCGATAGTTCGCATAATAATAATAATCGCGACGCGGTTTTCTGCCTCGCTTCTCCCCTCGTCACGCACGTCGTGCCGACATCGTGCATACGGTGTGTCGCCCGATAAAAGAGAAGAGAGCTTTCACTCGACAGGGAAAGCTGCGAATGGGAATACGAAACGCTCCGCATTCAAGACGAACGTGCACTGGTCGCAGCGACGAACAGCGTCTCCGAAGTGGCGCCCGGCGCCGCGACGCACGATCCGCGTCGGCGCCCTGACACGCGACCACTGCCGCCTCTTACCCGCAGGTGAACTCTCCCCGTTCGCCAATTCTCGTGTATCCAGTTTATGATTTTTAATTGGCGGCGTTGTAAAGAGTTAATTAACGCAACGCTGCGCGGGGATTTATCCATCGTTACACCCTGCACCGATATCATCTCTATATTAATTCGGAACAGTGCAACAATAGCGCCATAACTAATAACAATCGCGAAATCAACACAACTGTTTTATATAAATATTAATCTTTTTTTTTAACGCTGTGTGTAACTTGTACTTCCATTGTCAAGAATCACATGCGATAACAATTCAAATAACACAACATCAAAGTTGTAACTGCAAATTGTTACTATGTTTTTTTTATATTCCAATCCGTTATAATAATTTGCTCAACGTGCACGGATTACAAATCTGAAATCTATATATATGATATCAAACATAAAATGAACATAAACTGAAAATAAAAATATTTATATATTAAAACATATATTATTGCAGCGAAGTCGAGAACAGCGTAAATAATAATAATAAGAATAATATGTAACAATAAAAGTGATATCATATATTGTTAGTAGCTATTACGTGAGCATTATAAATCAGCGATTGTTGCTAGAAAGAAGCAAAATATGACGTTCATTCTCGCTTGCAGCGTTTTCACGGCTTACGTGTCGCCTAGTATATCCCACGACATTTCGCGGACGAGACCGGCCGTCAACGTTCTTCTAACCGAGTCGCGGATCCTAAGTGTGATAAATGTCGACGACCCAGCTCGGTGGCAGTAACGTTCGCCCTCTTCACCTGGCGCTCTCGCGAGCGATTTTTCTTTGGCATGTGTTATGCACCGTAACTCGCTCCTTAATGCCCGCTGGATGAAGCAACTATTGATCATCGAAACCTTTTTTCTTCAAAATAACTGTGTGGGGATAAATAACGTACCGAGTATGCAAAGCGAAACGAAATTGCGACCGTTAATTAGCAATATCAAGTGATATGATCAATCGCTATTTAATTGACGTTGCCGTGCGAGTTTCATTACCTTCCTGAATCTAATATCCGGGATCGTTAAATCTCCAGCTGAGGGAAAACTAATTTCAAGATGGCCGGAGTGTTTATCGTTAAAATATAATGCCAAGAAGTGGAACGGCTCTACGACTATTAATCTTGCCAGCAAATTACGAAAAAGAAGCAATTTTCTTGTAATTTGACCTCATTTCGAAAGCGTAAAATATATATCAATAATTTTGTCGCTTTGATAGTGTATTTTAAGTTGATATTCTAAAAAAAGTTTTTTTTTTTATATGCATATCCACATAATATAATATTTAATATTACACACAGGGTGGGAATAAATTTAATGTAGTACAACCAGACCGAGAGATGTTTGTATAAAAATTAGTGCAGAAAAAAATTTTTTTCGTCCAAAATTTTGTCAAGTGATATCTCTTAATAAAAGAAATGAATTTTAATTTTAAAGAAACTCCTATTTTTCTATCAAAACAGATCTCATTAAATATTTCTGTGTGAATTTATATACACATTTCAGCAAACTGCGCGCCGAAATTTTTTTTTGGTCTCGAAACACAATCATGAAACAGAGTAGTAATATCACGTATTTAATTGATCAATAATTTAATAATTTTTGCTAATGAACATTTTTATAACAGTATTAATAATCTGATGTTAATAAGAATAAAATTACGAATAAATTTTAATTACTTTGTCACATCTTTAATTCTGTCACTCGTATAGACATTAACATGATAAAATTGTACAATTAGTGCTTTCCAGCAAAAGACACACTGTAACACAATGAATATTTCATTTTTGTTTAACATTGGTAAACAACAAGAATATAATTCATTATGTTATACCGTGTCGTCTGTGTTTCTTGCTGGAAAGCACCCATAGCCTTTTCATGAATCGTATCTTTATTAAGAGAGTGCCCGCGATTTTCAAACTTGACTTTCTTGTAAACAAAGCCTCGAACGGAAAAAGTTTATTCTGTACTTTCGACTTATTTTTATACAAGGAATCACTCCGTCTAGTTGTATTGTAGATTTGTACCTATCCTTTAAATAATACAGAATGCAACGTATTTGTAAAAAAAATATGTCGACGTTCACTCGACAATCACTCGAATATATTATTCCACGAAGTAATGCAAAACGGAATTTTCAAGCAGGCAAGAATAATCGTTCTCATGAAGTATCGTGTTGCCTGAAATGATATATACAGCGTGTTTCTTCCTCACCGGATTTCATTCCCGTATCTTGAAGGATTATTAATGACGGAAGGAGTACGCCGCGAGAGAAAAAGCATTCTATCAAGATAAAGGCTAATTCGCCCGTAATATCCGTCAAAAAAAATCTCTGTTCTTATCTCTGAACAACTTCCTTCTATAATATAATATATTCTTCAAGTTGCCAAAACGCTTCGCTCGAAAGCAATATATAACACACACGCAAATAGGATATCTTATATATCATGTCGTAGACATGATATAAGAATATAATATATTCCATTTCCAAGGATGCACAGTCATCTTGAACATAGCGGCTGCTCCTTGACTAATCAAAACGTTGTCCCAAATTGTAAAAAGGAATTTGATTGCTATCATGTGCATTCCACTAACTTTGAGAAATATATTCTAATTTAATCCGCCGTTATGCGTAATGGAATACCTTATATTTTTACTATGATTCTAGACTTTACTTGACTTCCGTTAATAACAAATTCTTGAAATCATTTCAAAATGTCGAGGCTAGTAAATAAAAAGAATCTAAAATTAGACAATTTGAATTGTCCGAAATTCGTACGCTCAGACATG